TTTTTTCAATAGGAAGAGGGCCATGTGACGCATCAAACTTATTGGTAATGTCACAAGAAAAACAATGGTGACAACCATTCCCATTTTATTACGGTGTATCCATATTAATGGCCCACCCTGTATATCAGCACCATTGACAGCAAAACAGCCACAGAGCATGATGCTACCACCACCATGCGTGACATTTGGTACAGTGTTCTTAGGTTTGAAAGCCTCAGCTTTAATCCTCCAAACGTACCTTTTGTCACTGAGGCCAAATAGAAATGTTTCAGCCTCCATCTTATCTGATCATATCCATAGCCTTGTGGTCAGGTGCAGATTTCAGTCAAGCTTCACTGTGGACAGTGATGCTGGTGGTCCAGCAGTTTCTAGTTCATGTCAAGCTTGGGCCCTGGTGGTTCCTGGGTTGTTTCTGAACATCCTGACCAATTTCCTCTTATCTGAGGGGGGACCGTTTTGGATCTTTTTGGATCAAAGTCGTGACACATGTGAATAAGTTATACTTACGTACAATTATTTGAACGGATGATCTTGGGATTGTTTAGAAATGGCTACAAGGGATCTTCCCAACTTATGCAAGTCGGGGTTTCCCCATTCTTTTGAGCAGTGGTGTCAAACAATTCCTCTTTATGCTGGCAAAAAGAAAACAGTTGCCCACAATCATGATCAGCAATGAGAGGTTAATAGGCCTCGGTCTTGTCGAGTTAAAAGACACTGTAGAAGCTTCAGCACCACTTGTTAAAAGATTTAAGTCAGCGTATGTTTATATCCGAGCCCGTATTTATACTTTTGACCCTGCGAGAAATACAGAAACTCCAAAAGAAATTCAAACTTGTGCATCCAGCAACTTATTAAAGACACATGCTGTACTTTGGTGCCACCCAGGGGAAAAAAACAGTTCAAAGAAAAAAGTTGAAAGCCCCAAATTACTGTGACCTTCATGATGAGTGTATGAAACTTTTGACCACAACTGTAACTTTTTAAAATTCCTCGTAAACAAAGAAACGGGTCTTACATTCCTCGGTATAGTCACTAATTGAATTATGTCTGTTTTCCTCTCATTTAAAAACAGTTAGAATGATTAATTTCCTCATAGCTTTTTTTCCCCTCTTTACCCAGTGAACAGTGGTGTTTTTCTAAAGCATAACAAAACGATACTGCCAGAAAGGAAATTAAAAGCATTGCCATCGCTCACCACCTCCAATTTATCAACTGAGATTGGAGCTTAAAATTTTTGAAGTTTAATCAAGCAAACAGACGTTCGCACAGATTCAGCGAAAATGCTTCCTTAAGGTTTCCCTTGATAACATGTATAAAAGCAGCCCAGGGGTCACTCAGCTTCTTTGAGTGGTTAATCAGCAAACTGTTTTCTTAGTTCACTGTAGTGACTCTGATGGATGTGTTTAGAATTAAAGCCGTCTTCCTGGCTCTATATGAGGTTATGTATGAGTAAGTATACTTTATAATTCCTATTTTCAATATAGATGTATGATGTGTGAGTGTTCAGTATTAAAATATGTGCCGCTATGTCTCCTAGTGTGGATCTCAGCATGTGGTTTTCATCCACAGCATCTGTAAAGCTTTTGAGCTGCATACCAGACACCCTACTGTTACTGACGACTTCTTATAGGGAGAATTTGGTTATGAAACCTCACAAGTCACTACCTGTTACAAAGTGATAAAACATTTGATGATTAATTATCCTTTCAGATGGCTAGTGTTGGTCTGGAGTTTAGAAACCACATACACATCAGGTACAAACCTGTATATAAACTCAAAACCTTTAAAAACTGTTATTTTCTAACTAATATAAGTGCCACAATCGCTGATTTATGAGGCAGTAGCTGCAGATTTGGGTTCACTGCTGAGTTTCAGTGACTGGGGAGTCTCCTTCAGAAAAAGAAAAAACTCAAATAATAATTAGGACCAAGGGTGTCAAACATAAGGCCGGGGGGCCAGAATCGGCCCAGCCAAGACTTCAATCTGGCCCACTAGGATGGCTTTCGAATATGTAAAGGACGACCACTTCCCCTGCCAGTGGCGGACCCCCTCAGACATCGGTGCGTTGGTGGTTCTTTGTGTCCGGGGATGGGCATCCAGGTACACACCGGCTCACTCCTTGGCGGCCGCTTATCGGGGCCTGGAGCCTGGGGCTCGCTCGGGCCACTTCGGAGGTGGGGTGCCCCCGGCCTCTCGGCCTGGGGCTCGGTCACTCAGGCGCAGCTGGCTGCCGGCGGAGCTCACGGGCTCGTCACTGCAACTCCCCCTGGCTTCTGCTCCGCGGCTGCTGAGTGAGCCCTCATCTGGGACTCTCCTCAGCTCTTTCCGGGACAGTGGCGCAGCTGCCCCTCTGTTGGTCTTCCTTGGTCTCTTGTGTTCTGGGGGCCTCTGGATGTCTGGAGTTTTGATCTCCTCCAACCTGCTTCAGCCCTGGAGGACGGGGCTGTGGCCCCCCCACACCCTCTAGCAGATATTACATGAAGGAACCTTTTAAAAAAAAAAAACAAGCGCGTCCATGCTCACAGGTGTACACACGGGTGATCACACCCACAAACTACACCCTTTTTGGCTCCTACCTCAAAGCACACTGTGTTCTGTTGATCTTATGTGCTGCACAATAATGTTTAATATTTAGTATTTACTGTCATATTCCATATATCATTGTGATGTTGTTTATTCTATTACTCTTGTTCTCTTCTGCTTGCTTTCTTTTTTCTTTCTCAGCAGGTGATCCAGGTGATTGATATATGCATTTTTTTTTCCTCTGCCCGTTTTGTTGGTTTTTGTCTTTTGCCCTTCTCCCCCGTCCCTCTTCTCAGCTGTTTCTCTTTCCCTCTTTCTTTCTCCCCTTCTTTCCCCCAGTCAAGTCTGTCCCGTATTCAGTAAGTGAAAATAAAATAAACAATAAAAGGTGAATCAAATGGACCATTACGGCAAGGCTGGGATGGTCAATTTGAAAGTAAAGTGTAAAGTAAAGTGTAAAGTGTGCGTGTTAGTCCCCATAGGGAAATAGTTCCTCTGCATTTAACCCATTCACCCAGTGAAGCAGGGATGGTCAGTTTGGTAAAGTAAAATCCGTTGGGTATCTTTCTTTGCCTTTAGACAACAATTCTGATGGCAAAAGAGCCAAACGGGACAGGCCAAAAAAAAAAAAAAAAAAAAAAAAAAAAAAAAAAAAAAAAGAATATGTAAAGGACGGCATAGATTTTAGACTTAACTGTATTTTCATGACTTTTACAGCTTTTCCTACACATTCATTCATTCTGGCAGATTGATGTGATTTCATTATCTTTATCAACAGCATTTTGTTATCATGTTGAAAAACTGAGACATCATGTTGCACTTATTTTCCCTACACTGTAGATCCCTGATCTACACTCTTGGACTGACTACTGCTGCAGTTGCATAAATATTTGATTAAAAAAATACAAATACAGAAATACAGTTGTTGTTGCGGTCATTCTAATTATGTTGTGTATATCACAATATGTATTTGAAAATCCAATATTTAAACCAACCAATATTCGAATCAGTCCAAACAACAGACCAGAAACAAATACATGAAGTTATGAGCCTGAGTGTGCCTACTTGAATGGGTCTTACCCACCTGTGCTTTCGGGAGCTTCGGGAATGGGAGGACTTGTATGAGTAGCCCGAGTACTGCGACTCGTTGTCCATGTCTCGGGTCGGCGGTGAGCGGGCTTTACGAGCCCCGCCTCCTCCCGCCGTGCCGCGCTGCTCGCCGACGCCTCCCAGTTGGTTTTTGCGCTCGGAGATGGACTTGGTGGAGAGAGCCAGGGGCAGTTTGAGTAGGTCAACCTTACTCCTGAGGGAATCTATCTTGGAGGCCGATGAGGGGGGAGCAAGAGAAGGGAGGATGGGAGGGCAGGCTAAAACGAGGAGATGATGAGGAAGGAATAGGGGTGGGAGAGGATGATGGGCAGGAGAGTTGCAACAGGGGAGAGCCGAGGTTGCTGAGATCTGAAAGAGAAGGACAAAAAGAGAGCGCTGGTTAAAACTCAGCATCGCATGTAGCCATTTCTCTGCCTGAGCTACTATTTGTGCTCCTAAGTTGCACAGTTTAACTGAACTGGCAACACACTAAAAATACACCGCAGGCTTCATATTTATCTTTTCCTTTTTCCTGCCTGAGCTTCCTGCCTTGTGCTCCTAACAGCAGTCACACCAGACCATCTAGATGGTACAAAACAAGGTCCCCGGCGTCACTTCTAAACTTGGGCAAAAGCTCCTTTTCATAATACGCATCACGGCCTTGGAACAATTTACAAGATAAAGATCATTTTGGAAACACTGGCTTTATATCAGGCATTGAAAAGCATAGCACATTTCAAAATGCTGTCTGAGGAATGCGCCTGAAGCCTAACTTTAGAAAGAAGTAACAACGCAGACGTCTGCGAACACATGGAAGGTTAAAATCATAAGCCCCTTTCAGACGTCAACTCCTTTCCACTAGTCTGAGGGCGTCTGCATGCTTCATTTGCATGTCTTAATGTGCACCCTGGTCATTTTCCATTAAAATCACTACGGCAGTCATACAAGGTCTGACCTATAAGCCATCATTAACTGACAGGCACACACAGGAATATGGGCATCCTTCTTTGTGGGCTGCACAGGTAACTAAACGGCACAAAACAGAAAAAAAAACATAAGTTTTTGTTTTGTTTTTTTTAAAAGGGAGGTCACCAACTCTCTTAATCTCACACGAGAAAGCCTCAAAACTCCTCCCTTTTTAAAGTAAAGTAAAATGACCCTTTAAGAGTCCATTTATGTGGTTTATACCCACATCCACTATAAAACACATTAACCTTCTAAACTGAGGCTTCGGTTTCACTTCAAGCGCTTTCATCGCTTCCAGGTCTCAGCTGAGGTTAATCATCACACGACTATATCTCCTCTCTCCAAGCAGCGAGCATTAGCCACAGTTAGCTGTGTCACAATGGCAGCCATATTGGATTACTGTGTTTTCACTAAACTTGTTTGCCCTCTCCCTCCCTCTCTCGCAGTCTCACATTCCGTCCCTCACGCCCCTCGTCCCCCGGGAAACGGGGCCTCTCCGCTGCCATGGTAATGAATGAGGGTGTTCAGCTGTAGGGGGATTGGAGGCTGACAGTTACTGTGGAAACCTGACCTCACACCGCCCTCTGACACACTGTCTGTCCACGCGGGAGGGAAAAAAAAATAAAAAAATCACCAAAATAAAAGTATCGGCGTGATGGATGTTTGGCTGTCACATGGTACTTAATCGATAAAGGGAGGGCGTGGCTCACTGGCTTTGATTGGCCCTCTTTGGGAAATGGAGAGGGAGGCTAGCTGCTATCAATGCCGGACAGATTCCACTTAAAGATGCTTTTATGCCCCATCAAGACCATTGAGTTTAAAATCCACTTCCCTTCATCCAAGTCCTGCATGAAATCCAATCTCTCTGTCACAGTTTATCCACATTTTCACCATCTCTTTTTGCATCATCATTATCATCATCATCATCATCATCATCATTAGTAGTAGTAGTAGTAGTAGCAGCAGCAGTATTATTATCATCATCATCATCATTATTACATGGTAAAGTGTCAGTTCATCCACTGTCTGCAGCAAGCCCTCCAACTTAAGTCATCTTTCTTCTCATTGGTTGTTCCTCACAAACAAAGGGTTTGAATAATAGGTCGGGTGGGGCATCAATGTTCCACTCTGACATCATAAAGACTGAAAGAGAGTCTTTTAGAGCCTTTGGAGCACCCAAGCCTTTATTCCAAGTGAAACTGCATGTGTGTCTTTTGGCTTAGGCATTTGGTTATAGAAAGCAAAAGACTAATGGTATGTGACAAATGCACGAGTGTCAGAGCGTGATATTAATGATAAAGAGATGCCATACGTTTACTTTCATAGTGCGCATGAGACAAGCCCAGACATGTGTTACAGCAAGAGGCAGCCTCCAATAATAATTTAGTAACAGGGAGTCCCTTCAACAACCTCAAACTAAAATTACAGCACTTTGCAAAATATGCGAGAAAGCTGTTCCCGCTAAAGGTGGAAACACTACACTTGTTTCAACACTTGTGGTAAAAAGACACCACCAAGCTATGACGCCATGCGAGGAGGAGATACTAGGAGCTGATGATATGCCTCGAAAAAGTAAACAACGGAGACTCCATCGGGGATCGCCGGAGCACTGCTAGTTGTCTGTATGACAGGGAGAGCAAAACGGTGAATGGAAATTATGGGTGCAGTTACATAATAATAATAATAATAATAATAATAATAATAATGGATTGGATTTATATAGCGCTTTTCTAGGCACCCAAAGCGCTTTACAATTCCACTATTCATTCACTCTCACATTCACACACTGGTGGAGGCAGCTACAGTTGTAGCCACAGCTGCCCTGGGGCAGACTGACAGAAGCGAGGCTGCCATATCGCGCCATCGGCCCCTCTGGCCAACACCAGTAGGCAAGTAGGGTCAAGTGTCTTGCCCAAGGACACAACGACCAGGACAGAGAGCCCAGGGATCGAACCGGCGACCTTCCGGTTACAGATGCGATTCCCAACCCCCCGAACCACGGTCGCCCTGATGGAAATGCAGGGCTTCAAGCAACTCCTGATAAAGCTATACCCAGATCCCAGGTAGAAAATATTTTTCAGTGTTATGTGAAAATATTGTGAGTCTAAGTTAAGGTTAAGCTACTTTAATTATTAGTAGTATTATTATTAAAATGTTAAGCATTTGTTTTATACTTTTACTTAAAACTTCCATGGAAAACGCTACTTAGGTTACTTTTAATGCTTAGATTTAACTTTGCCACTATCAGTGCATATATAGTGCAGTGCTATAATCCTGCTGCTAGCATCTTGTTTCTATAGAGTCACACTTCAAATTCGATAGTGTGTCATCAGGAGTTACTGACAGTTTCTTTGTGTTGTAGTAATAAATAAATAGTGCTTCCTGCAGGCTGCAATCACTGATAAAACACTGTTCACTATATCTTTTTAATAGATACATTTTTCCCTAATTTCCTTGAAATATAAATGATGTTGTGACAATATCACCCACTCCTGGCAGCAAGTCTGTTCCATTTCCCTGCAAACAGGGCTTTTCTAATAATCTTGAAGATCATCAGTGGCTGAAACAAGAGCAGCACACAGACTTTAGACTGCCCCTGGTTGTGCACAGCTATAACATGCAAACAACAGTTTACCAAGCTCTGCGTATGATCAGCGCACAACCAGGCCAGTCCCCTCACAGGGATTATTCACACATGCGCTGATCTCAGTTTCTGAAAGTTTCTTCCTGTTTAAAATAAACACCACTTACCACCAGCATAAATATGATAGCAAATAATGAAAAATTCAATAGCTCAACGTTATGAGAAACCTCCCCTTATCCGGAATCACTAACTTTTAGCAGACCAGAGAAGATTTTGGACCCTTGCAGCCATGTGCAAAACCTCAACAGCATGCTTATTCCAAAACCACAAAACTCCAATGACTAACAGCTGCTTTCTGGTGCATCATGATCGGCTTTTATCTTCAGCTTTAGCAGAGGAATTAGCAGAATGGTGCTGTGCTTTTAGGCCAAATAAAGTGCTTAAAAGCTGTGTTTCATGCGACCCCTACAACAGACAGGAGTCTGCATTCTGAATGTCACACGAAGCAAGAGGATTCTTATTTTAGATCAAGTTAAACCGAAGAAAAGCACATTAAACAAACTCCTCTTCACAAGTTCTTTTAAACATGCCATTCGGGACAGACAGAGGAGCAGATATGGGTAGAGCTTCTCAGCAAAATAATACGAGGACAATAAGTGGAGAGGACTCAGAGATTCCCAGACAAGCCAAATACTCTACACAGGCAAGAGACACAAATCTAAAGTGTTTAATCTAATGGCTGTAGAAGCTTAGCCGGTATTTGCTCTCCCAGACAGAGAAACGCTGGCCAAAATAACAATCGGAAATCATCACCGGCCATAATGCTCGCCCCACCAACGCACATAAATAACAATTAAGCAATTATAATCATGCGGTCTGCCTTTCCAAGCAACAACAAAGGAAAATGAAGGAGTAACGTCTTATTTCAGCAGCATATTTACTCCTCTATATCTGAAACTCTAACAGCAGAGACAGAAGAAAATGGCTCAGCTTTTTGAACGCATGAGTGATAAAAAGGAAACAAAAGCATTACTCAGATTAGTGCTCTTTATAATATGTGTCAAAATCAAAGCCCACAACCTAGCCATTTGTCAATTTTAATCCAACTCACAAATTATTTTAGATTCTCAAGAAAGTTTGCCATGAGCACAGGGCGGTGCAGACCACAGGCCAAACTAACCCTCCACTGCATCAGCAATCTGACAAGCCTGCAAACAATGAACGTGACAAGACTACATAGTCCATGTCTAACTGAGTTTTAACAGATGCCTACCATGAAACAATTTGTTTTCAAAGAACATAGTTCTCATTTGAACATATACAGCAGCAAAGATGTGAAGTCATACATACTGCAAACAGGTATGCAGCTAAAGCAAAACATGTTTCTTCTTTCAGTCCTGATCTCAAAGTGTTGAAGCTGCAGAGTTTGCTGCAAGCTTTTTTTGTTTCGTGCCAGGACGCTGCTCTCTATGGTACAGGTAGACTAGGTGATCAAAGAGCTTTTGCCTCCATTTTCTTCTTTTTTTCTTAAATTAGCTTCCTGCACAAATATTGAGCTGTCGTGTTCGGGCCTGTGACACAGGCAATGCCAGAGCTGAGGAGTTGACGACGCACTCTGTGCAAGACTGAAACAAAAGACTGGTTTTATGCTTTGACATTAGGGCTTAACAAGATTTTATTAAATGCCCCAACTTCAAGCTTGTGGAACAGGTTGTTATAAGTTGGCTGAAGGAAAGCCTTCTTTGTGGAGTTAGTTTGCTTAACTACATTTTATAAAGACTAATGATCTTATTTTCTTCTGGTAATTTAATTAAAGCAC